TAAATTATATAAAATACAATTCAAAGAAATTACAAAATCTCGGACTAACTAATCTATGATTAATTAGAAGAAGATCCTACGAAGCACCCCCCAAAATCAATCTTAACCTAAGTGAAGAATATCATATTTCAGGATTAAAAAACAAGATAATACAAAAGACAAAAACAAATTTTATGCTATGTTTAAGAGAAATTATTTATGTTTAAGTTGGTTCTATAAAAAAAGAATGATGGTTAGTTAATTAACTAATTAACAGGAATGGAAAATGTAAAGAGATCAAAGATCTTTTCACTTTTATGAGAATAGTGGTTACAGGAGAATTGCAATGTATTGGTAATTAACTCTTCTGTAAAACCAGTGACAATGATCGTAGAAGACTATAAAAATCTTGAGGAAGGTGTTTTAGTTTATCGAATAGAATTTGTTCAGCTGAATCATCAAATTCGCCATCTGAATCTGGAGGAGAACGTTGTCTACAGTTTCAGCGATATAGGAGAATCCTTTATCAACGTATGTTTTATAATATTTAAATATTTCTTCCATGAGATGCCACATCTTATGTAGTGTACTAAAAATAAGAGTCCTATCCTCTGTAATAAGTGGAGTATCAGGGACAGATGTTTCAGTTGGTGGTGGAAGTTCAAATTCTAATTCGTCATCAGAATCTGATAGAGAATCTTCATTATTAACCAAATTGTCAGTCTTAACTCTATTATACCTAGTGTTCCGAGCCGGTCGAGTCGACCCGGGTTGTTCGACCTGACTCAATTTTTTTTCGAGTCAGGTTTATCATTTTTATGACACGAGTCCTAATTCGATAAAACCGTCAGGTCACGGTCACGTTTTCCTTGACCTGGGTGATTCGGATGATTAGTGATCTAATGTTTCGTAATATAAATTACACTCTAGAATAATTTACATTATGCAATTTGAATTTGTAAACAAATAATATATAATGAGTAAAACTATAGACATTACCAATATAGACGTTACTGCAAGTTCTAAAATACGATAGCAGAGTGAAATATTTGTCAAAGAACTTTTGAAGAGAAAGTTCTTCCATCAGAACATAAGTTTCGAATATTCACATTTAGCAATAATGGCTAGAGATTATCTTGCGATTACAGGTAAAAAAAAAAAAAATATTGGTTATTTAACATTAAAAATACTTTTTTAATAAAGCAACAAGTGTCCCGGTAGAACGAGTTTTTCTGGCAGAACCGATCTAATATCGACTAAAAGAT